CATGTAAATTTATCTTTTCAATATACTTTTACTTCTTTTTATTTAACTTTCTTAATACCCGCAAAATCAACCCAAATGGGTCGTTCTTTCGGGGACGGAGGGAGTAACAATTATTAAAGTCCATATTACCGAAGAAAATTTCAATAAGTAATTCTTTCTTTTATATGGACTCACTTGAAGATAATCAATGTTTTATTTATTCTTTTAATATTTATAAAGACTATTCATTTCCTCTGTCTTCTTTTGATCTGTCTATTTTTCAAAAAAAAAAATGGTAAATAAGGAGAATGGAAGGAGTAGAGAAATATACTCCATCTGTGTTTTAATAAGTGTTACACAACAATTAATTAATCATAATCATAAAAAACAGATAATAATAAAAGAACAAGACCTTTGGAAAACATCTCCTCTCTCCTTCTTCCTCTCCAAAACTCTAGCCTCCATTGTTGAACTTTAAAGGGGCTTCCATCGGTTTTAACTGGTGGAAAGCCCTAATTCTAGTTTCTTTAAAGTTTTTTTTGTAGGTTTTATAATAATAATGTGTTGAGAGACTTGAGAAATAATGATGTGTTGAGAGACTTTTCTCCCTCGAAATAAATAATGATCCAAAACCCTAGCCTCCATTGTTGAAAGACTTTTCTCGCTCAAAAGAAAAGGTTTCCGATCTCCTTCGAAAGACAAGGGTTTTTCAACCTCCTTCCAAAGAAAACGTTTATCTCCTCTTTTCTGGGAAGAAATTTCTTAGTTTTGAATCCATGATATTAGATCTAATGGATTGTCATGAAATTATTTCGTTGGTGAAAAAGTCATCAAGTTTTCGAATGCAAACAGACAAATCAGAAGCAAAACATCCTCACGGATATAAAGGATCGTTAGATTGTCTCTCCAACAAGGCTATTTTTTTCAGCGATATAAGCGAAAGATGTTCCACACTGCAAAATCTACTCGACGATCGTAGTTTTTATGAAGGAAAATTTTATTTGATTCAATATCTTATGTGTTTGTTAACGTCGAATCTATATTGTAGATGTCGTATGACTTTTAATTAATGAAATATATTTGTTATTCAAAAAAAATAACAATAAGTGTTACACTAATCAAATGTGGCCATGTTTGAATAAATATACTTTTTTTTTTTTTGCAAAAAACTATATTTTAATATTACGAAGTCTATCTCTCTCCTCTTATATTTCGTCCCCATCTAAACCCAATACTACATTATTTTTATATATACCTCTCATATTTATTACTTTTTAATAAACTATTAACCCTACTATCTTGCTTTTCTAATTTTTTAATACTCCAATTACCCCACTTACCTTTTATTATATCTAAGTTACAATAATTTAATTGTCTAAAACTATGTGACGGTCAAACTATAACACTTATTAAAACACAGAGTGAGTAGTGTGAGAAACTTAACAACTAGAAAGTATTGTATGACAATAATAAAAAGTAGAAAATATTGTATGAAAAACATAAAAAGTAAAGTAATGTTTTTTTTTGATATATGTGTATTTTGTATATTGAATAGCTGAAAAGTAAATAATGATTATATGTTATTTTATACCGTAAATAGGACATTTATTTTAAGACACCGTAAAAAAATACAAGCACATCAAACAGGGACGAATGAAGTAATAATACTCCGTATTTTATAAGCATTTACCATTTTATAAGCCACTTATTGTGATTTATAATTTATGTAAATATAGTCATTAACAGTCCTACTATATTTCTCTTAATATACACTTTTACACTATCCACAATTAATTTTTTTTTTACCATTGTATAGTTAAATAAAATATTTAAGCTGCTCTCTCTCTCTCCCAAACCCTACCGCTTTCCCAAAAACTGCTCTGGCCATGAGGCTCGCCGGCGGGCGTGCGGCTCACCGCCCATGCCACGACGTCGGCGAGCCTCCGATCTAGTCCCTTAGGTTGTTTTTTTCCTCTCTCGTTTTTGTTTTCGTTTTCGTTTTGGTTTTTTGTATTTTCGGCCTTGCAACGTGCACCGCCTCCCCTCTTCGGCCGCGTCAGTTCCTCACCGGCCTTGGTGCCGGCTTGCCGCCAGTTTTCATCTTCGTTCCCCCGCCGTGTCTAGGCCCCTCCGTTTTGTCCGTCGTCGCGACGTTGTGTTCGAGAACGGGGAGGGTGAGTTATCTCCCTCTAAGTCCCTCGCGTAGGGTCGTTCTTAGTCTGGTGTCTTCAGTCGTCGTTGCCGTGGTTAAGGGGTGTGTGGGGTTTGGGTTTCTCGGGCGGGTATTGGCGGTCCGGGTTTTACTTTCAGACGACATGTGGGTTGGGTTGGTGAACCTCGGAGCATTTGGTGGTTGTCGGAGTGGCGGCGGGGTAGGTTGTTAGGGTTCCGTTCGTAGTTCTTGTTTTTAAGTTTCTTCCTGTTTTTTCTATTAGTGGTGTGTGTAGTGTTTGGGTTTCCTGTTTCCGTCTTTGTGTGTTATTTGGGTTTGTTATTTTTTCTTTTTGTGTGGTGTGTTGGTGTGCTATGGGGTGTGTAGATCGGTGTACCGATCTTCTGGTGCAGGATTTGAGCCGGGTTTGTTGGTTATGGGGCTTTGGTTTGATCTTCTGTTGGTTTGGGCTAAAGGGTTATGCTTCCATGCCGATATCCGTGTTTAAATCGGAGATTGTCTTGTCAATGGTGAAGTGTACGACACCAATTTTGATTTCAGGTCGTGGAGTACAGGATTCTGAGCCAATGAAGGTTCTCGTCAGAAACTACAACATATTGCCAGACCCCCTTGCAAGAGGCTGCATAGGACAGCGTTATATGAGGCAAGAGTATTTCATAAAGTCATTTTGCGTGTGCAATTGTAGTTTCCTTTATTTCGAACTTGTAATTGGTTCTTTTGTCTTTGCATTGTTCGATTACGATTTCTTATGTAAGTGTCGTATGGCTTATTATTAATGAAATTTAATCTCCCCCCTTCAAAAAAAAAAATATTTAAGTTTGACCCCATATTGCACAATTAAAAGAACAAACTAAAATACTTTTATTTTATTTATTTATTTATTTATACTTCACTTTATTTATTTATTTATTTATTTTCAAATCAAAGTCACTACATTTGTTTATTATAAGGTCATGTTCTCTTCACCGTAATTTTGCTGAACTTAAATTATTTTTACTAAACTGAAATTATTTTTGCTGAACTTAAATTATTTTTACTGAATTTAAATTAATTTTACTGAACTGAAATTATTTTTGTTGAACTGAAATTATTTTTACTGATTTTCTATTATAATTCTTCTTTAAGAAAACTGAATTTTACTGAACTGAAATTAATTTTACTGAACTAAACTTATTTTTACTGAACTATGTTTTGTTTTATTTTGTTTTGTTTTAATAAGGCAAAGTCACTAAATTGTCTAAACCTTTGACTAGTTGATGATCTTTTAAGTGAAAAAAAAAAATTCTCTCTCTTCTTATCTCCTCTCCTCTCCTCCTCTCTTCTAGGGCTTCTCCAAAATCTTGTTGTTTAGGCCGGAAATAATCTAATTTCTTCGGAAATTAGACTATTTCCGACCCTTTTCCTTTAATTTTATTTAGTTTTGCAATTTGAATTTCAATAAATCTACACAAGTAGGGTAGATAATCGTTCGTCTCCCTATAGTGGATTCGTTAGTTTTCGTTAGTTTAGTTGTTTGTTTTTGTTTAGGGTTTGTTTGTGAGTTAGGGTTCATAAAAAGTAATCATATTTTGCCCTATTGTCAGTTCTTTGGTAAAGATTTGTTCGGGATCGCAATGGTTGTCAAATTTCAAATGCGTTCAGGCGAATCAGATGAGAATCATCCTTACGGCTACAACAAATCGTTAGACTGTCTCTCCGAAAAGACTGTATATTCCAGCGATGTGTGCGAGAGATGTACCACAATGCAAGATCTTTTCAACGATCGTAGCTCTGATGAACAAAAACCTAATTTGATTTAATTTTATGTATTTGTGAATTTAGATTTTATTTATACATGCCGGATGACTTTTTATTAATAAATTGATTTGTTAAAAAAAAAAATCACTAAATTGTCCATGGGAAGAGGTGGACGAACAACGAAGATAATTGTGATTTGACACGGAGTAAAAAAATGACAAGTAGAACGTGAAAACTGAATTTATTTATTTATTTATTTGTTTTTTTTTATTTTTTTTTTAAAGGGGGGTATAGGCAGTTCGATGGGGTATAATATACTCCTAATTCTTTTCTATTTTTAGGCAGTCAATGTTGTAACCTTTTTATGGTAGGGAACAACAAAAAGATGTCTTTTTCTGCCCAACAATTTCAGGACCAACTATAGATTAAAGTAATACGGAGTGATTCTTGATCTGTATACGTAATTGGTGTGCGCCAAGTGCTACGGACTTAATTGGTAAACTTAAGTTGTACTAAGTAAATTTTGACTCAATTTGTAAAAGTCTTAATTTATACAAAGTATCTTAGTGATCTAGGATTAAAACATACCTACGTATTTGAAATGGAAATTCATGTATTTATAAGTACATAATCCACAAATAGTAAACCAAAATAACTGTAGAGATTGAAGTGTGGTTATAGACTCATAGTTTTTCATTTTATTTATACACAATCATGACGATAAAATATTTAAGATACAGTATTAGGAATTGATGCTCCTCCACATCACCTTTTTAGTTACTCTAACAAAAATAGAAAGAAAAAAAAAGTTTATAATTGATATTTTGTATGATTATATGCTCCTTTACATTATTATTAATTTTTATTAATAACAGTACAACCTTCACAAGTACAAAAGACATTAAAAATAAAATAAAATAAAAAAAAGGAACTATTCTACATTACAATCACTATGAAAAGTGATCGATGAGGTCGGCTATCTAACAAATTTGGCTCAGTTGTGGACTAACTAGCTTAGCCTCTTTATAATTAAGATAAGAAAAAATGTTGGTTAAAGTTTGTACTGTCACACTACCTAAACTGCATGACATTATACATTGATTAATTTTGATAATCTATTTATATTATTGAGAAATGAGGGGTTAACAGAGGATTTGTTTCATGAAAACCTTCGTTTGCTGATGGCAAAGATAATTTCAATGTCGTTCTATCTTTGTTTTCAATGCACACAAGTTGTTCGAATTTTGGATTAATCTTCTTGTCAATGTTACTGAAATCCAATGCAGTTGAAATTGGTAATAATCCCGGAGTTTGTGATACTGAAGAATTTGTCAATTCAATTGCTCTGTCTGCTTGCACGCTCCAATCTGTTTTGTACAGAACATACAGCATCAGGAGCGCGCAGGAGGCTTGGGCGGCGAGTAGCCCGACCCATAGCCCTGCGAACCCCTTTTTGAGAATGAACCCGAAGAAGATAGCAACGGGCATTCCTACCAAGTAGAATGACCCGAGGTTAATGTTTGCTCCGATCGTAGGTCTTGCACTACCGCGAAGGACTCCACAGCCTGTTGTCTGTGGACAGTTCCCAAGCTCGCAGAGCCCTACAATCGGCAATGCAACAGCAGTAAGATGTAGAATTTCTTCATCATTGGTGAAAAACCTACCCCATTGATTCCTCATAAGGATGGTAAAGAGTGTAGCAGTGAGTCCCAATACAACGGCGCATGACAATGACACGATCATGGAGATACGAGCCTTCCCGGGGCGGTGTGCTCCAAGCTCATTCCCAACTCGAGTAGACACACCAAGGGATAAAGATGAGGGGAACACATAAACCAACGATGTGGTTTGTATGAGTATTCCCATCGAGGCGATTGTCGCTCTCGGGTTGGCTAGCAGACCGCAAAGCATAATCATGAACTCGTACCACCACCACTCAAGACAAACCGAAGCACAAGTAGGAATAGCGAGGGCTAGTAAGGATGACCAACCTCTAAGGCAATCCATACTCGGGGCAATCCACGAGTCTTTATAGACTCGCGAGAAGTAGATAAAAGAAGAGACTAATAGACATAAGTTTAAATTAGTCCATATCATGCCAATGGCAACACCGGCGATGCCTAGCTTAAGGTGGACTACAAGGAGGAAATTGAGAGGCAAGTGGATAAGTACCGAAATCGCGGTACAATAAGTTAAGGGCAATGTGATATTTTGTGTCCTTAGATAGATTCTAAGAGGATGGAGTAAAGAAAGGAAAAAAAGATCAGGAATAGAAAAAAGAAGAAAGATTTGAGCAACGGATGAAATTTCATCATCTTGACCACACCAAAGTAGGATTCTCTTCATGTTAATCCACATGAAAGTGATGGGCACTGAAGTTGAGAAAAGTAGAAGCACTGTTCTTTGTAAAGATAACCCAAGAAGCTTCATTTGTTTCGCACCATATGCTTGTCCACAAATAGGTTCCATTCCCATGGCTAACCCGGATATCACCGAATAGCCGGTGATGTTCGCGAACCCAATGGCTAGCGAACCACCGGCTAATTCGAGCTCGCCGAGGTAGCCTAGGAACAGCATGGAGATCATTGCTCTTGAATATAACAGCAATCCTGTTACTGTTGTTGGCCCTGATATCTTTCCTATTGCTTTCATCTCTTGTACTGCCTGAAATTTCAAAGTAGAAAAAATAATTTAATTACATGCAATAAAAGCAAAACAAAGCAAATCAAATAGATTAGGTAACAAAAAAAATAATAAAAAAATATTTATTTATTTTGACTTTTGAATTTTGGTTTTTTTTTTTTTTCGTACCTCAGAAATGGTTGGCCATCTATGAAGATCGTTATCATCATCATTAGTAGTAGTTGTAGGAGGACGATTATCCATTAACTTAATATTATCACACGATGGTGAATTCGAATGAGTTTTGGTAGGAGAAGGTGAAGAGATTATAGGCTTAGGAATGTTGGACATAATAATAATATGAGAATAAAGAGAAGCTTTTGATTGAATAATTAAGAAAAACAAAACTTGTACAAACAAAATAGACGTTTGTGTATGTCTTTCTCTAAGGAAGCAACTAAATAGAAATGAGATTAACAAAAAAAAATGAGAGAAGGGGTATATATATATACTCTTACATACACTAACACATTTGTGGGGTCCTCTTATTTTACGTGTCGAATCCGCAGTAAAATGGAGGAAAGGACCGTCTTACAAGATCGGCCGGCCTATTTTGTTACCATTTCTATAGCTTCCTTAATCCCCTCTTTTTTTTTTTATCTTTATTTGATTCATGCATTGTATGTATGTGTTTGGAAAATGGAAATCAATAATATCATGTTTGATATAGTTTTAAGATTGTGAGTTTGTTTTGGACAAAAAATTATAGGGAGATATCTTATTTGATGTGCAATTATCTTATCATGGTAATTTTTACATAATTACAGCGAAAAATTTTATTTGACTCCTAATTTCATTGTATGTAGTACATAAATAATTTTAGGGAGAAATCATATTTGATCCGCACTTATCCTACCATAATAGTTTTGATATAATTATAGCGAGAAATTTTTTGATCCATGATTTTCATTGTATGTAGTACTTAAATTATCATAGGGAGATATCTTAATTGATTCGCACTTATTATTGTAGTATTTGTAAAATCATAGGGAGAAATCTTTTATGATTCATAGATTTTGTATAATGGTCATTGTGATATTTATGAAATCATAAGTGGGAATTATATTATTTGATCTACAATTATCATTTTGTACTCCCTTTGTTCATTTCTATTCTTTATATTTTCACTTTATGGTCAACTTTTTAAAACTTTGACTTTTAAATTTCATTGTTATTATATACATCATAACCATATCATATGGGATCCGATTAGATTTGGCTTGGAATATGCATATTGGAGATCTTAAATTAAAATTCAAAGTGAAATGAATAAAAACAAATTGAGGGAGTAGTACATATCAAATTATAGGGCAAAATCTTATTTGAACCAAAATTATTGTAATATTTATACAATAGGAAGAAATCATATTTGATGCACAATAAAGATTGTAGTATTTATAAAATCAGAGTGAGAAATCTTTTTTGATCCACAATGTGTACATGGCTTTCAAATATTATAATCATGAATGATTCTTTTTGGAATAAGTAATTATCTACATTAACGGCTTGTTTGATTTACCTTATTTTTGCTGATCTAATCTGATTTGGTCTGCTCTGATCCGGTCCGGTCCTAACTAAATGTCAAGTGGGGTCTTGTTAAATTCGTAATAATGTGTATTTTATTAACATATGATTTTCATAATTTTTTTCATTACGAAATTAAAGATATTTAGCGATAAAAAAAACTGCACATAAAACGATGATCTAATCTGAACTTATTTTTTTCTGATCTGAACTTATTTTTTTTAATAAGTAATAATAAGATGAACTAAACAAGGCCTGAGTACTTATAAAACACCACTTTGGCACACAATTTAAGAAATTTATTAGATTAGGTGAATAGATAAATTAATTGAGAAAATTCCTCCATCGATTGAAGAAAGTGATAATTAAGTTATGAGAAGGTATTGCGTTAGTTCGGACTGACAAAATGCGGATTTTTGATATCATCATTTGGCGAGATGGTATCCTCTATTGCCTGGATGATATCCTCTACTGGCTATATGATATCGTTTATTGGCTATGTGGTATCCTTTATTGGATGATATTTCTACTGACTGGATGATATCCTCTATTGGATGACTAATATCCTCTATTAGCTATAAGATTTCCTTTATTGGCTATGTTATATCCTTTATTGGATGGATGATATTTCTACTGACTGGATTATATCCTCTATTGGCTATATGATATCATGGCTGGATGATAAATGATATCATATAGCCAATAGAGGATATCCACCAATTAAATCCGGCCAAATTGCGACCGCCTTTGACGGTCGTTGAAAATAGCAAAAGGTCACTGAAATTAATTGCAATCGTCGTCAACGGTCGTAACATGGTGGTCACTATTTACGTGGTCGCAGAAAAACAAAATTACGACCGTTTGACGGTAGTAGGTTTTTTGCGGCCGTTTTTATTATTTCAACGACTATATATAATTGCAACCGGTTTAATTAGCGGTCGCAAAAAAAAAATCACACCCACCCCGTATCCAGCCTCACCAACCTACCTCGAAACCACCTTTACCCACCACCACTGCCAACCCTACCCACCTTTACCCACCACCACCGCCCACCCTAAAATACCACCAGCCACCTCAAATCACCTTCAGCCACCCTTAAAACACCTTCAACCACCACGAAAACACCTTTATCCACTACGAAAACACCTCCAACCACCCCGAATCACCTCGAAAACATCTCCAGCCACCACGAAAACTCCAGCCCACCCCGGATTCACACCCCTTTCCCACGAAAACCCAATTCAACCACCACAAAAGCCACCCGAAAACCAAATTAACCAAAAATCGAACATGAAAATCAAACAAAATAACACGAAAATCCAAAAAATTAGCGAAAGTTAAAACAAAAATAGTAAAAAACAAACAATTTCACTTCGAATATCAAACCCTAAAATTAATGAAAATTGAGCCACAAAATTATCCAAAAAGTACCCGAAAATCAAACCAAAAATCAACAAATAAAAAAAACAAAATCAAACCCAAAAAGAAACGGAAATCAACCAAAAACGAAACAAAAAAAAAAACCAAAAACACGAAAACATACCTCAAACTTCGAATTTTACCTCAAAATTTTGGTTTAATAAGGCCAAATTCGACCATGAAAAGTCTAGAACTAGAGTTTTCATGGTCGAATTCGACCTTGAAAATCATTAAATTGTTTACACCATCATTGAACTCGCCAATGTGAGACTCGAACTCGCCAACGCGAGATTCGAACTCGCCGCCACCACCGAACTTTTTAAAAGGAGAAGGAGAAGAGGAAAAAGAAAAAGAAGAGAAGAGGAAAGAGAGAAAGGAGAGGAGAAGAGGATAGATGCGTGAGGAGAGAGAGAGGAAAGAAAGAGTAGACGGTTGCTTCCAATAAATTAGGGTTAGAGTGGATCTCTTTTTATACCTTTTTAAAAAAAATTAAAAAAGCACTTTTCCAACCGGTATTAGCGGTCGTAATTTTGCAACCGTTTCTCAAACAATCGTAATTGTTGCAATTATGCGACTGCTACTAATGGTCGTAACATGATAAATTTAATTTTGAATAATTTTTCACATGCATTTAATTTTTTAAAATATATTTAAATACCTTTGCAACCGTTTTATAACCCCAAAAACGGTCGCAAATTTGAGACCGCTTTAAAAATGGTCGCAAATTTGCGACCGTGTAAAAATCGGTCGCAAATATCATATTTTGCGATCGTTTCCATGACTGTCGTAAAAAAAACGGTCGCAAATCGGCCGAATTTCAGTAGTGATCATAGACACAACCATAAATGATATCATATAGTCAATAGAGGATATCATTCATTCAACCATGATATCATATATATAGCCAATAGAGGATATCATCCACCCAATAAAGGATGTCATAGATACAACATAAATGAAATCATATAGCCAATAGATGATATCATTCAATCATGATATCATATAGCCAATAGAGGTATCATCCAGCCATGATATCATATAGCTAATGGAGGATATCATCCAGCCAATAAATAATATCATACAAGGATATGTATAATTTGTTTGGTGATATGTATAACAATGGCGGAACCTCCATTGAAGAGCTCATATTAAAGGTAATGGGTATAACATAACTTGCTCATTTCTCAAGTAAAATAAATGCATTTGTCATCAAAATGCTTACAATTCAACATACAATCATATGGGACAAACAATTTCAACAATTATACATCACTTAAGAAAGGGCCAATTAGATTTTTTGGGCATTTTTTGATAAAATCCGAGAATTAAACTTTCTCTCTCTTCCGTCGTGAATGACCTCACTTTTCTCTATCGCCATTGATGTCATCGTCGTCATTGTCACCGTCACCTACAGGGAGAAGAGATCTGCTATTGTTGTCATCATCGTCATCGTCGTCTTTAACGTCATTGTCATCTCCTCCGCTGCACGAACTATTTGGTCAGCGTTGACTGGCCCAATAGTTTGTGTTGAGTTATTGCAGTTTAAAATTATAGCCTAACTCGTTCATTTAGTTTAATCACTTAATCAAGTAATATAGTACAGTACTTAAAAAATGTGATATTAGTAAAATAAAATAATAAAAATAAAGAGGGTGTACATTATCTAATTATGTGTATATCACATCAATATGATTGGGGGAGAATTTTCCTTTACAATAACACCAAATATCAGTGTGGATGTCAATCATGTCAATTCTATCCAATTGGCCTGCTAATCTGCTATAGTTTAGGGCTGATAATGTAGGCGTCAGCAACTCAACACACCTAAGTAGTTAATATATACATTTAAGTTTTGGTTTTGGGTGGGTATGTAATAAAGAGGGTTTTGGGTGTTTGGCAAAGTTTTTGGGTTGGTATGAAAACCTTCCCCCTAAAAACCTCACTTCCTACCGGAAAACCCAACCTACCACCCAAAAAAAATACTAATTAGTGGGTTAACTATAATTAATTTAGATTTAATAAGTTATTTAGGTATTAATTACTAACATATGTGATACGACCTTAAGTCATAAAGGGCATTTGATGAATTTATGCATAACTAAGAAGTCATTGATGAATCTATACTAACTTGGACCCCTCTTAATTACGCCATGTCACTTCATAAGCATTTCATGGCGCCTATCATTTCACAACACATTCATGGCGCCATGTCACCTACCCAACATATCATCATGTCACATCATCACCTCATATTAAAAATTTGAATATAAGGAGATTCGAACCGCGAACCACTTATAACAAAATTAACTCTTCAACCATCTAAGCCAATTATCAAGCATGTTACAAATATGAAAAAGGAATATATATAAACCACATAGTTTAGTTATTAAAAAAAACACAAACATTCATTCAAATAAAAAAAAAATAAAAAGACAGTATTATTAATTTAAGGCAGGTACTGAATTACCTTGACAGTTAGACTCTTTATTCCCCATTGTTTAAGAAAAAAGAAACTTCATTTTACTCTTTGTTTTCATTATTGTTAAATTGATGTGCCAAACTATCTTATACTTTATTAAAAAAAAAAAAAAAAAGTTTGCTTACAAAAAGACAATTGCAAAATACAAAATCCATTAAAAAAAATACTCTCATTGTACAATTACAAAAGTAGTAACCCGGGGCAACGCCCGGGCTACTCACTAATTTTAAATTAAAAGCGTCGATG